AAAAAAAATCAACCCAATTTCTCAAAGATTCGTCGACATCGTCCGCATAAGATAGCGCCGAATTTGTTGGATACCGTGCTGGTGGCCATTTCAAGTGTTTTCGTTGTAGCCGAATGGACCATCTTGCCGCTACTTGCTTTAAGATTATTGGGTATCCAGAATGGTTTGGTTCTAGTGGTGTCGACTGCAGTTGTAAATTTGGTGGTGGCCGCCGTGGTGGAGCTCGCGACAAAAGTGGTGCTAGTGCAAATGAGGCGTTCTCCAGTGGTATCGGTAATTCGTTTATTGTCGGTTCTGTTGGTTCTTCCACTGTTAGTAGAGTTTTGAGTGATTCGGATCGTCTTGCACTTGGCGGTTTAACCAATGAACAATGGTGCATTTTGTGTTTTTGGTTAATCTCGCTAAACAAAATAACCCATTCTCTAATACGCGTGGTTTATTTGATTAGATGTACGACTATGGGGCAATTCATCATATGACAGGGTTCCTGGAGTTTATTCCGCCCATCCTGCTCAATTGCCCAATGGTTCCTTGACTATGCTACCAAGGCTGGAACTGTTTATTTGGGATCTCATATCACTTTTTTTGATGTTTTATACGTTTCCAGCCTTCGGTGCAGTTTACTTTCATTAAATCAATTGCTGGATTGTTCCGACTGCACTGCTCAGCTTATAACAAATTCTATGTTATTCGAGACCACACTTCGCAAAAGGTGAATGGTGCGGGTGAGCAGTTGGGAGGTTTTTACTTCTTTCGAGGGACGGTTTCTACGACAGTTTCTTGTGCTCATAAGGTTTCTGTCGATGTGTGACATCAACGTTTGGGTCATCCGTCTGCTCAAGTATTGTCTCAGGTTCCTGTTATTGATTCTAGTTCTCGTAATTTGAATAAATCGTGTAATGCTTGTTTTCATTCTAAACAACATCGACGTAGTCTTCCTCTTAGTCAGACTGTTAGTCATGAGACTTTTCATTTGATTAATCCGATTGAGATGATTTTCACTATAAACTTTGTATAGTATCTCTCGTATTAGAAGAAATGGAAGATTTTATCGGGAATGCTAAGAGCATCTCCAATGGAAAGTTGTTCATTTTGTGATATGTATCATGGAAAAAGAAAAATAAAAAATTGTCTCTCCAATGGTTAATGTTAGTTTTTGTGTCATTTGTGATGTGTAAAATTGTAAATGGTTGAATAAGAGATATAAATTGAATATAATATGCAATAGAAGTTGTTTAGAATGACTTCTACATATAGAAAGTCTTCTAGACATTCTTCATGCCACATAAGAGTATTTGTGCCATGTAGCAATAAATAGAGCAATAGAAAGACCATTTGAGATGCTCTAAGAGGTTGATTGGATATAAGTTATTTTGGTTTGATTGGATTTGTTGATTAACCAAAGTTAATTATGTTTGAATAGAATTATAAGTTTATATTAAAATAATGTTTAAAATATAATTAAAGTTTATTTGATGTGAAAGTATGAAATAAGTGAGTGAAAGTGACAAGTAATTAAAATTATGTGAGTTGATAAATAATGAATTAAAGTTGATGTAATATCTAACTAGTGTGTATCCCGTGCGATGCACGGATAAACAATATTAAATAATAACTATAAATTAAAGATGGTAGTAAATAATATTAACTAATAATTATAAATTAAATATGAGGGTAAACAATTCTAACTAATAATTGTAATTAAGATGTGGAGTTAATATGTGATATAATTTATCGTATATCAGTTGTAAACAATATAAAATTATCTTGTATAAAATAACATAAAAAATATATGTTTAAAATATTAAAAACACCTAAAATATTATATAATGTATTTAAAGTATCTAATATTTTACATATCATTATTGAAAGATGTGAAGTCACCTAAATTTTTTCTAAACTATTTTATAAATAAAACATGTCTAAAATTATTTAAAAAAATGCCTAAAATATATTATTCAATTTCCAGAAGAAGATGATAAGTATAAGTTTGAATTTTAGAGTCCACGTGAGTATAATTTTTAAGATCCATGTATTATTGAAATTATTAATTAAATACTGATTTATTAATTTTATTTTATTTCCATACAAAATTGACCGTCTCATTTTATTTTACCATATTTTCGTGGAGATTGAATAAAGTCGATTGCATTTATAAAAATAATTTTTATATCAACATACAATTTATAATGGACTTTTCAAAATTATACTATTAACAAATAATATATTATCATTAAATATATTTTTTAAATGCACAATTATTGAAATTGAGAATTTAAAATTATTTTACTTTTTAAACGGAGTATAGAAAAAACAATAGATTGAAAAACAAAAAATTGATAAACATTATCAAGTTTATTATCACACGTACCAAATACAAAAAAAAAAATGTGATGATTAGTGGAAAATGATATTTAAAGAATAGCATTCAATATTTTTCTGAAATGCACAAATATAAAAGACGATAGACTAACTTTTTTATTATCTTTTGAATTGAGATTTTATAAATATAAAGACTGAGATTTTAATGTTTTTTGTTGTTTCTTTAAAAAAAAATGAAAAATGTACTCTTAATAGATCTTAGCTGGGATTTTTAAATTATAAAATGAATTAAAGTTCAAAGTTTAATGCAACATTTAATTTTGTATGATTTTGAAAGATAAAAATAAAAAAATAATAAAACTTTCTATTTATAGGTTGCATTAAATTCTCTCCTATTTTTTTGCTACTATTTTTGTTAAATGTCAATTCTTATTATATATATATAGATATGTGTGGATGACTTATTGATATTATTGAACTATATTGATAAT